TGACCGAGTTGCAGAGTTTTCTGGGGTTCGTCAACTACGTGCGTCGGCTCGTCCCCGACATGGCGAAGCTGACTGCCCCGTTGACCGACCTGCTGAGGAAGGGGGTTGAGTACACGTGGGGGGAGAAAGAGCAAGCTGCCTTCTCGGCCCTCAAAAATATTTTGTGCTCCCCGCCCGTCCTTCACATTGCAGATCCCCACCGTCCGTTCGAGCTCGTCACCGACGCAAGTGACATCGCTGTGGGAGCAGTACTGTTGCAGGACTTCGGGAACGGCCTCCAGCCAATCGCGTACGAGTCCCGCAAACTACACCCGCCCGAACGTAACTACCCGATACACGACCGCGAGATGCTAGCGATCGTGCACGCGTTCAAAGTTTGGCGATGTTACCTGACTGGCGCCGACGTGACAGTACGGACAGACCACCGTTCCCTACAGTACCTTCGCGCCCAACCGAATCTCAACCCACGACAGATTCGCTGGTTGGACTATCTCGAGTCCAATTTTCACTACACCGTTACGTACAAAAAAGGCGCATCCAACATCGCCGACGCTCTCACCCGCCCCACCGCCCAACTCCACGCCATCCTACTCGCCCAGACCAACCCGCTTTTAACTGGCCTATTCACCCACGGATACCGCACCGACCCATTCTTCACGACCGGAAGTTCACAGCAACTGGCAGAAGCAAAAGGAGTTTATTACGTAAAAACAGGCACCAACCGCATTAGGGTACCCGCGTACTCACTACTGAGGGAGCTGCTACTACAGGAGGCACACGACGGGATTACCTCGGGACATTTCGGGGTAGAAAAAACGCGACAGCAACTGCAGCGGTATTATTACTGGCCGGAGCTGTTGACCGACGTACAGCAGCACGTGGGCTCGTGCCCGACGTGTCAGGTGATGAAGAGTTCAAGGAAGCGGAAGGCGGGTCAATTGCAGCCGATCCCACCGCCCGAACGCGCCTGGCAGCAAGTAACCATGGACTTCGTCACAGGGTTACCTTCGAACCCTGGGGGTAACGACGCGGTGATGGTCGTCGTGGATAGGTTGACGAAGATGGCACACTTCGCTGCGTGCAAAAAGTCGATCTCAGCCGAAGAGACCGCTCGCCTGTTCATCGCAGCCGTTGTTCGCCTGCACGGGATACCAGCAGCAATTATCAGCGACAGGGACACGAAGTTCACCAGCAACTTCTGGAAGAACCTCTGGGAGCAGTTCGGGACCAGGCTACAGTTCAGTTCGTCGTACCACCCCGAGACCGACGGCCAAACGGAGCGGACGAATCAGACGATGGAGCAGTTGATCCGTGCCACGTGTGACGACCCCACGACCTAGGAGCAGCAGTTGCCGCTGATCGAGTTCGCGTACAACAACGCCACATCAGCCACGACGCAGCAGTCCCCGTTCTACCTGAACTATGGGCAAAACCCCACAGTGCCCATGACGCCGAGTCCGGACAACCCAACGCCACGTGCACAACAATTCGCCGAAATCCTGCAAGCTGCCCGCGCCAGAGCCGCCGAAGCAATAAAAAAGGCCAACGTCATCCCTAAGCGCAACGCTGATCGCCACCGCCGTCCTGTCACGTACCAATCTGGAGATTACGTGCTGCTTGACACGCAAAATCTGCGACTGCCCGACGTACCTGCTCGAGAAGGAACTCCTAGCAGCTGAGAAGTGCATTGTAGCTGTAGGTGCCTCTCGTGGCGACCCTCGCACTCCCTTCTTTGAGGGGTGCTCCCCCTCCCCCCTCCTCCCCTCCATTGCATCTGCTGCTGCCGTCGACTACCTCGGTGCTGAGGGGGTCGGGGCTGCGTCTGCTCCTAGTGGGAGGCGCAAGGGCGGCAGGGGCAAGGGGGGCAGGAGTGGCGGAGGTGGCGGCGGGGGCGGCGGTGGTGGAGGGGGTGGAAGGGGCGGGGGTGGTGGCAGTGGTGGGAGTGGCGCTGGTGGTGGGGGGGTCAGTGGTGGAGCAGGGGGTGGTGGCGGCGGAGGTGGTGGGGGTGGTGGGGGTGGTGGTGGCAGTGGTGGCGGCAGTGGAGCTGGTGGCGGGCGCGGTGGAGCGGTGCAGCGTGGGGGGTTCGGCGGTGGCCAGAGGCAGCAGCAGCAGCGTCCTGGCGAGACTCCCTCGCCCCAGCAGCTCCGTGAGTGGTACTCTCAGCGTGGGGGCTCTGGGGGTGGAGGAACCTGCCCGTACGTCATCCGCACAGGTGACCGCACTGGCCAGACCTGTGGGAGGTTCCACACGGCGCAGCGCTGCTTCTTTCGTCTCGACGACGCCTGGCGCGAGCAGTTTCCTGAAGCCTCTAAGCTGCCCCGCTGGGCTGATCTGCTTAAAAAGAACATTGATATATTTGCTCTTGATTTTGATGCTATCCTTGGTGCCATGTATGCATTGACTAATAGTGTTGAGGGTGACTGTTACCTGGGTGTACCGCCCGACCCGGGTATTGGGACCAGTGAGACTGCTGCTCTAGGTGCTAGTGCGTCTGCTGCCCTAGGTCCTGGTGAGGCTGCTGCCCTAGGTGCTAGTGAGTCTGCTGCTCCAGGTGCTCGTGCGTTTGAGCTAGCTGGTACTGCGTCTACTGAGGCACTGCACACTTTCACACTGGACTCGGGTGCTTCCCGCTGTTTCTTCCGTGACCGCACTGTCCTTGAGCAGCTAGCTCGGCCAGTTGCTGTCTCCCTCGCTGACCCCTCTGGGGGCCCGGTCCTTGCGACCTCCTCAACTGTCCTCCCTTGTCCTGCGGTCCCGTCCGGCACCCTGTCGGGTCTTTACCTCCCCTCGTTCTCTACGAACTTGGTGGCGGGCTCTGCTCTCCAGGACGGGGGTGTGCACCAGTTCATCCCTGCCTATGAGCGTGTGACCCACTGTACGTGTGCTCGGACGGGTCGCCACCTAGCTACCTTCACTCGGCAGCCGGGGTCGGACATGTACTCACTGACCACTGAGTCCCCTCAGGTACATGAGTCTACGTCTGCGTCAGGTCAGCTGACGGCCCCCTGCTCGTATCGCTCCCTGTCGCACCAGACACTTCTCTGGCACCACCGTCTTGGTCACCCCTCCCTGTAGCGCCTTCGTGGCATACACTCCTGGTACCTTGTCTCTAGTCTTCCCAGGGTTCTCCCTCCCCTCCCACCCTCGCCTGCTCCTCCCTCTCTTCCCTGTGTCGAGGGGCGGCAGCGCGCCAACCCTCACTCCTCCTCGTTCCATCCCACTGAGGCTCCCCTGCAGACTCTCCACCTGGACGTGTGGGGCCCAGCCCGCGTCCGTGGACAGGGCCACGAGCGGTACTTCCTGCTGGTCGTCGACGACTACACGCGCTACACCACGGTCTTCCCCTTGCGCACCAAGGGTGAGGTCCCTGATGTTTTGATCCCTTGGATCCGCGCTGCTCGTCTCCAGCTCCGCGAGCGGTACCAGTCGGACTTTCCCCTCCTGCGTCTGCACTCTGACAGGGGTGGTGAGTTTTCCTCCGACCTCTTGGCAGCCTACTGTGCGGAGCACGGCATCCGCCAGACGCTCACACTTCCGGCCTCTCCACAGCTGAGCGCCACATTGGCTTAGTCATGGAGGTCGCTCGTACCTCCATGATCCATGCGGCTACCCCCCATTTCCTGTGGTCGTTTCCAGTCCAGTACGCTGCGCATCAGCTCAACCTCTGGCCCCGTGTCTCTGCTCCGGAGACCTCGCCCACACTGCGTTGGACGGGGGAGGTTGGCGATGCGTCGGTGTTCCGGGTCTGGGGATGTCGAGCCTTTGCTCGCGATACGTCCGCGGACAAGCTCTCCTCCCGTGCCGTTCCCTGTGTCTTCCTTGGCTTTGTCCCTGACGTGCCTGGCTGGCAGTTTTACCACCCCACCTCGCGCCGTGTCTTCCCCTCTCAGAACGTCACTTTTGACGAGTGCACACATGGAGTTGTGGATGGCGTTGCGATGTGATGATGTGTGCAGCCATGTCAGCCCACGTGATTCATGTGACTCACGGGTCCATTGCATCACCTCACTACCGAACAGCTCTCTGACCATCCACAGTATATACCCTCTTCCTTACCCACTTTCCCACTCATGTGTATCCACCAGACGATTCTGCTTCTCCCACTCATGTGACATATCCTCTTTTTTCCTCAACTTTGTTGCTCCTATCAAGCAGAAATTGAGCATGTCATACAGACAGCTCAAAAACTCTCTCTCTCTCTCAAATGTGCAAGACTTCGGAGCAATTAGGCCAAAGCCTTGCCAAATGTGCCATAATTGATGGAACGGCTGCAATTATGCCACGGGATGTTTCAGATTTGCAAGTCAATAATTAGAGGCCGTATACTGTATGTGTCTCAAACCATCTACATTTGTGAAACTAAGTGATGACAATATGGTTGATGAGTATCCGGTTAAAACAAACTTTCGGGTATCTTAGTGCCAAAGTGAAGGCTTTGTTATTCAGGTCTTGGGGGTTTATGGGCAAATGACAATCGCCAGTCTGTGGGAATTTCCCCCCGTTTTGTCCCTTGAATTATCTCTCGCGGCATATCGCAAAGTTCGGAGGAGGTTCGGGGGTGTAAACCAAACCTGAAATCTGGCTGGGTTATCGTTCGTGGTGTCAGATGATATGCGAGGCGACGACCACGGGCCATCAATCATACGTGAGAGGAGAGGGATCCGCAAGACAATGTGCAACACATTTGTAGCTTGTACAAGGTCCCTCCAAACTACCCGCTGTGTCAACCATGCGTGGTCAATCGATGCAATTATCCGCGTCAATCACGGTCTCACCAAAACAGGGTCAATGAGATTGTCCACCAGATTCAGTCCTCGCTGGTGTCACCAAAACAGGGTCGTCGTCACACCCGCAAACCGCCAAGTTCAGCATTCCCTCTCCTCTCATGCCATTGCGCTCCGCCACCCCAAAAGATGACTTCACTGCGTCAACTCCGCAAATGGCGGCGGCGGCACGGATTTTTTCCCGCCACTCTGTCAGTCGTCGCACTCGTAGGAGCCATGTGGATTTTCCTCTTCGCGACTCGATCTGCTTCTGTAAGGCTCACCCATAGTAGCGACTCGCGAGCATTCGAGGGCCTCTGGTACTTATCACCCCAGTGGCCATCATGATCTTAGATAGGCATCACACGTTCCAAACGCGGATTCTCATGCGCCCTCCCTTTTCCTCCCTCTTTCCCTCCGCTCCCCCCGGCGACATTCCGTACCGCATTGTACCGAACCGTCCGACTATGTCCCCCCCAGGGCGAGTACCGACCGCCGTCGTTAAACTGGGACTTCTCCCGCACCTCTTCCGCCGATTCCGCCCTCTGCGGCTCCTGGCCCGCCGACTACGCCGCGCGCCACAGCGCCATCCGCCAGGCCAGCGCAGTCGCGCACGCAGCGCACGTGGAGGTCATCAAGCGGAGCAGGAGGAGCGGAGTTTTCGCGTGGTTCAGCCCCGCACCCCCCCCGCGCCCGTACGACCCCGCCGTTCGCTTCCTAACGTTCGAATGGCTGGACGGGTGCGGCGGGTACGGCGACGCGCTCAACGGGCTGATGCTCGCGTTCGTGACGGCTGTGCTCGACGGTCGCGCGCTCATCGTCAACCACGACTGCTTGCCGGCCGCGTTCCTGCCGGCTATGATCGACTGGCGGCTGTCGGACGACGTGCCGTTAGAGCCCGCGACCGTCGTCACGCCGCCCGGCTACAACTGGGACGGCGTTGTGACCGACGCGCGCCCCGACGCGCCGGCGAAGGCGGGGGAGGTGGTGCGACTGGACATGCGGAACTCGCGCGTGGAGCTAGAGACGTTCTTCAAGGCGCTCGAGAACGCCACCAACATCCGGCTGGCGGCGAACCTGGGCGCGCTGACGCACCTGGCGACCAAGGCCAAGGGCGAGTGGGCGGAGCGGTTCAAAGGCTGGGCATCCGCCTGCCGTACGCCATGGGGTGCTTCTTCCGGTTCCTCCTGCGGTGAGCCGTGCGAGCAGGCGTAGATTGTGGGCAGATGGGGGATTGTGGGCAGATGGGGGAATGTGGGCAGATGGGGGAATGTGGGCAGATGGGGGAATGTGGGCAGATGGGGGAATGTGGGCAGATGAGGGAATGTGGGCAGATGGGGGAATGTGGGCAGATGGGGGAATGTGGGCAGATGAGGGAATGTGGGCAGATGGGGGAATGTGGGCAGATGAGGGAATGTGGGCAGATGAGGGAATGTGGGCAGATGAGGGAATGTGGGCGGGTGGGTGGGGTGTGGATGGCGGATGGCGGCCCATGTGGTTGAAATGTGGCAGTGTACTGCATGCAGCTCTTGGCTCTTGGCTCTCCCCTCAACCAAACTTCTCCCATACCACCCGCCACGTGCGTGCCACCCTACCCCACCGGGCACGGCACATGGGTGCAGGCCGCGTGACGAGGTGAGGGAGCTGTTCCACAGCACCATGCAGAAGCTCCGAGGCAACAGCACCGCCACCGCTATGGAGCAGCAGCGTGTGGCGACGGTGGGCATTCACATCCGCGTGCAGGACGAGGTGGTGTGGGCGGGCGACCGAGGCAAGCCCAAGGACCTGGAGCAGAAACAGATTGACGCGCTGCTGGGGGACGCCAAGCAGTGGCTCGACTGCGCTCAGGTGTGGGGGCGAGGAGGGTGAGAGTGGTAGGGGTGGATGGGTTAGGAGTGGATGCGTGAGGGGTGGATGGGTGCATGTGTGTATGGGTGTAAGAGACATGACTGGATGTGGAGGGGTGCGATGGTGCCAGTGGTTGAGGGTTGCTGTGGAAACGTGTGCACACATGGAGTTGTGGATGGCGTTGCGATGTGTTGATGTGTGCAGCCATGTCAGCCCACGTGGTTCATGTGACTCACGGGTCCATTGCATCACCTCACTACCGAACAGCTCTCTGACCATCCACAGTATATACCCTCTTCCTTACCCACTTTCCCACTCATGTGTATCCACCAGACGATTCTGCTTCTCCCACTCATGTGACAAATCCTCTTTTTTCCTCAACTTTGTTGCTCCTATCAAGCAGTGGTCATTCCAGCCTCCCCTAAACTCCCCCCACATCGTCCTTTCCAACCTTCCCATCAAGTTCCTCGCCCTGCTTCCCCGTGGCACCAGCGCGTGGAGGAGTTCTGGTTCCCGTCGTCCCTTGCGGTGCGATGGATGCTCATCACCAACTCAGCGCAGCTCAAGGCTGCCATTAAATCCAAATACCCCGACAAGGTGTGCATGCGTGGATGGGTGGGTGGGTCAGTAACTGTGTGGGTGGGTGAGGCGCTGACTGACTGCTACGCGGCCTCAGTCCACGCTGCACTGCTGGTGCAGCACAGCGGGGATGACGGTTTTTTTTTTCTTGTTCTTTTGTTTTTTTAGGGCAGGATGCTGCAGCATCAGCAGCAGCAGCCGAACCTGCTGCCGTCGCTTAAGTTGGCCTTTAGCTGTTTTGAAGTAGCTTCTAGACCTTATGACAGAGGTAGAAACCCACAGTAGGCTCATATCGTCATGCAGGCACCCGACATTGATCACCAACCCAGCAGTTGCAACTCACACATGTAGACACACGAAGGGGCTTTCTGTGATCCAGCCGTTAGTCGCCTCCCATCTCCCAGTTGCGCATTTCAAAGGCTTCTAGGGCCCCTGTTGCCAAATCAGTAAGAGACAAGTGACTGAAAGGTTCTTAGGAGAAACACTTCCAGAACTGTTTGGGATTACTGACAAGCATCTGCTCTCTTCCTCATGGCTGGGCGCTCGCATGGTTTACTTTGCACTGCCTGATTACGAGTCAGGATGGATTGCCCTAGAGAATGGGTAAGAGGGGTGAGTAAATAAGGGTCCTGTATGTAGCCATGCTATTTGAAACAAAGTGCGTCCTGATCCCTACATGGTTGCCCTGTTTGCGTGCAGGTCGTCACCACCGAGTTTGTCCCACGGCATTCCAACAGCCTCGCATCAGTGAACAAAAAGGATGGGTTCGGCATAGAGGGCAGCAAGCAGGACGAAGCAAGGATGTTCCAGGAGGTAGTGACAGAGTGGTTGCTCCTAGCGGCCTCTGATGCGTATGTGATTTCTAGATCCGGGTACTCGCACACGGCAGTGTTTTACTCCATGCGGACACTTGCTACCTTTGAGTATGACAGGTGTGACCCGGAGCAACCAACCGAGGTAACGTACATGGGGGAAGATTGGAGTGGAATTTGATGAGTGTAGGTCTCCTAATTTGAAAAGTCGGTTTGATAGCGACACACCTTCCACACTTGGGCTGACTGCCACCTTGTCTGCTGTGGTGTCTAATGTATTGGCGCCACATATGACCCAGGGGGGTTTCCACAAGCCCACCCCATGGGGTTGGGAAGGGAGGAGGGGGTGGGGGAAGGGGGGGAGGGGGGGGGGGGAAGGGGGGGAGGGGGGGGAGGGGTGGGGGGGGGGGGGGATTGGTGGGGGTTTATTGACTTATTTTTTGTCCTGTGACCTAAGTATATTTATATCGTGTCTTCCCGGATAGAAACTCACTCTTTTGATTGGCGCATACGCTTTGGCCCGTTTATAAGCGCAGGCATATCTGGGTGTGTTCACTATGAACGCTTATGAAGTTCTATTGGGTTCATTATCGAATGTACTGTAACGAATTATTCTTCGTTCACGCCATCTGGGAAGGTTGAGGTACAGGGTCAACAGAGTCAAACAGTAGGTGGTTTCCCGCCAAATCACTCTAGCCTGGCTGCAGGTGCTGCAGGTTCCCTGCCAAGTAGCGTGAGAATATATGTATGCAACTCACTACCATGTCGACTCGACTGAAGTCACAGTGACGTGACCTACAAATTGGTGTTTATAAAAAAGGTGTATATATAATTGAATTGCAGCAAATAGCTCTACACAAGCTGACCCTTGTTCTTTGCATGATAAATTAAATAAATCTTTGAGCGCGACTTGCTTCCATTCTAGTTGTTCTTAGTAGTCCTTCTGGCCTCGTTTGTCACTATCTTTATCGGAATGTAGTCTTGCTTTCAGACCACGTTCCGTTGTTCATTCCGGCTACTCCTAACCTTGCCACTCTAGCTTTGTTCGTTTCTCACTCCGGCCGTTCCTAGTGTCAAAACATTATATTCTTTCTATCTTTCTAAGCTATGTAGGGGTTATCCTTAGAGGGTACACTACATTTTTCGACAATCTTGTACCCCCCCCCCCCCCCCCCCCCCCCCCCCCCCCACTTACCTAATCGATCATCCTTCTTACCGTTAGGCCCCAGATATAAGCGCATATGCGCTTATAATAAATTTTTTTTTTTTTAGGGGTGGCGCTTGTAATTGAGGAACGGCCATAAGCGCCGGCGCTTACCGTAATCCCCCGTATATAAGACCCTAGGGTATTCTGATAATCACCCCTAAAATGGCTGGGGGGTCTAATTATATGGTATACTTTTTAGAAGACCCGGGTCCAGGGCCTACGATATCAGGAATTTTTCCCTGAAATTCCTGATTTCCAGGGTTTTTTTTTTAGCTAGCCTGATTTTCCAGTGTTCAGCTTTTAGTGGGGCTGATTTTTCAGCCTTCACCTAGCACATGACTCTGAAATTTCAGCAATTTTTTCCAAGTGACACTGATGCCACTGTCAGAATGTTATAGCTTACTTATTTGTGCAGGCTATAGTGGGGTATCCCATAGGGGGTACAACCCAACTAGGGTTTCCTATTTGTACTCACTTCATTCATAGTCATTTCATTCTCGTTCTAACTTTCTCATGGTATCGAGCAGGTTCCCCCGTGGGAACTTTGCTTAGGGCCCACCACATCGAACCTTTTTTTCTGCCTGGAGCGCGCTCCGGGTCCTTGCTCTTACTTTTTTTTTTCGATCTGCCCTAACGGCCCGAGCGCCGCCTTAGCGAGCCGCCCGCCCTAGCAGCCCGAGCGCCGCCTTAGCGCCCGCGCCCCGCTGCCCGCCCTCGCGCCGCCTTAGCGGCCTCGCCGCCCTGCTCTCGCGGCCCTCGCCGCCCTTCCTCACGCGGCTCCGCCGCCCCTGATCTCGCGGCCCCGTCGCCCCTGATCTCGCGGCCCCGCTGACCCTGAAAGCGCGGCCCTCGCCGCCCCTGATCTCGCGGCCCCGCCGCCCAAGCGCTCGCGGCCCCGCCGTCCCTGATCTCACGGCCCCGCCGCCTCAGCGCTCAAGGCCCCGCCGCCCCTGATCTCGCGGCCCCGCCGCCCCAGCGCTTCCGGCCCCGCTGCCCCTGATACGCGGCCCCGTCGCCCCAGCGCTCCCGGCCCCGCCGCCGCTGATACGCGGCCCCGCCGCCCCAGCGCTTCCGGCCCCGCCGCCCCTGATACGCGGCCCCGCCGCCCCTGATACGCGGCCCCGCCGCCCCAGCGCTCACGGCCCCGCCGCCCCTGATCTCACGGCCCCGCCGTCACTGATCCCGCGGCCCCGCCACCCCAGCGCTCACGGCCCCGCCGCCCCTGATCTCGCGGCCCCGCCGCCCCAAGCGCTCCCGGCCCCGCCGCCCCTGCTACGCGGCCCCGCCGCCCCTGGTCTCGCGGCCCCGCTGCCCCAGCACTCACGGCCCCGCCGCCCCTTGCTCTCGCGCCGCCCGACTGCAGCAGCCGAGCCGCCCAACTGCAGCAGCTGAGCCGCCCACCTGCAGCAGCCGAGCCGCCGTACCGCCGAGCAGCAGTGCAGCCGAGCCGCCCTGCACCCGAGCCGCCCGGCAGCCGAGCCGCCCCGCCCGAGCCGCCCTACCGCCGAGCCGCCTGGGAGCCGAGCCGCCCGGGAGCCGAGTCGCTGAGTAGCCGAGCCGCCTTTCTACCGACCCGCCCGACCTGCCCTGCCCGGTGAGCACTGTACCGCTCTCACTGCGTGCCCTTCCCCTACTGCTTGCACTGCTTCACTCTCGTCGTCATGGCTACCCCTAGTGTCCTCGCTTTTGACGCTGAGGGTCGAGCCATAGACTTTGAGGTCTGGCTCGACGACCTGCAGCTGTTTTTACAGTGCGATAGGGCGGACGGTCTGTCTCTCTTTGACCTCACCTCTGGCGACGTCCCTTCCCCTGCTGCTGATGCTGACGCCACTGTTCGCTCACAGTGGGCCACGCGCGATGCTGCTGCACGTCTTGATGTGCGTCGCCACTTGCCTACCGCTGAGCGCGCGCACTTTAGCCAGTACAAGAGTGCCCAGACCTTGTACGACGCTGTAGTTGCGCGCTACTCCTCCCCTGCCACTGCTGCACTAAGCCGCCTCATGCTCCCCTTCCTCTTCCCTGACCTTGCCGCCTTTCCCACTGTCGCTGATCTCATCACGCACCTCCGCACTAGTGACACTCGCTACCGCGCTGCGCTTCCTGCTGACTTCTGCGCCAAGAACCCCCCCCCCCATGTACATCACTCTCTACTTCTTAGTCACTCGCCTCCCTGACTCCCTTCGTGTAGTCCGGGACCACTTCCTCGCAGTCTGTCCCACCACCCTCACAGTCGACAGCCTAGAGAAGGCCCTCCTTGCAGCAGAGAAGAGCATAGTCGCTGTAGGAGCCTCTCGAGGTGACCCCCGCGCCCCCATCTTTGAGGGGTGTTCTCCTTCCCCTCTCCTGCCCTCTGTCGCCTCTGCCGCTGCGGCCGACCTCGTTGGTCTTGAGTCGGTCGGTGCGGCGTCTGCCCCTAGCGGGAG